GTAGAGAGGCAGTGGTGGGGCAAGGGGGGTGTATCCCATGGTGAGGATACCCCAGGCTGTTCCTCTGGGTAGGGGGAGAAATGAGGATACAGATCAAAGCATTTGATGCCTTTCCACTGCCAAAGAGACAGCAGAAATAATACTAGCAAGCTGAGATGCTGCATGGTAATTCAGCAAGGAGAAAACCCAAACCAGCAAAGAAAACACCACAAAACTGTACAAGGAAACACAAACTTTGGGTAAGAGGCTGGACAGCAAGGCTGTGTTGCAATTCGGGCAGCTCTTTCTCAGACTGTCTGGGCTGGTGTTTTCTGTTTGCCCTCTTGGTTTCACATTAAAAAAATGGGATTGGGAGAGGGGGGAAATAGCAGAGGGGGAGTGGGAAACAAATCTGTGTTTAAAATGGGTTGTTATCTCCAACAGAAACAGGAGAAACACACACACAGAGTGCCATTCAATGTTGGGGTGGGCTAGTGAGCTTAGGGACAAAGTGGGACAGCAGGGGCAGGCCAGGAAATCTAGGGGGTCCCTCCTTGCCTGGCGTGCAGGGATCCCTGCCACTGGCAGCACAAGCAGTTTGCACCCCAGCAGGGTTTGCATCCAAGTGGCTGCTTACTCCAGAGTGTGGGCGACTGCTGGGCTTTGTGTCCTGCGGGGCGGGTGCACGGGTGCCTGCTCCCTGGGGTGCAGAACCCCTTCAGGCATTGCACCCCACAAGGCAGTCCTTGGATGTTGCCCTAGGATGCTGGACCCGGCCAGGCTTTGCACCCCACAGCCTGGACATGCTGGTTCAGGGGTGCCCACTCACAGCTTGCCGGACCTGCCTGTATTCCATGGGGTGGCCGGGAGGATGCAGGCACTCCAGCATGCCAGACCCAGGCATGGTTTGCACACCTCAGAGCCGCGGGGAAGGTTCCCGGTTGGGCAGGGTTCATACCCCAAAGGATGGCCGATGGGAGCAGGGGTGCCCACACCGGGGTAATGGCTCCAGATAGGGTCTGCACCCTCGGGGATGCCCGGGTGGGTGCTCGGACGTTCACCGCGGAGTCGCACCCTCGAACCCCGCATGCCCCCTCTCCTCACCGAGCATCTTGCTGAGCTCCGCGTTGTGCAGGTCCGGGTTCTGCACGGCCAAACGCTTCCTCTCGTCCTTTGCCCACACCATGAAAGCGTTCATGGGCCGGCGGATGCGGCTCTCCGAGCCCTTCTCTCCCGGCGGACACCGTGGGGGCGGCCCCGGCGGGACCCCCTCTGCCGCGTCCCCCTCCAGCCGCTCCGGCCAGGGGAAGGTTCCGAGCAGCGCAGCCATGGCCCGCCCCCCCCCCCCCGACAGGCTCTGCCCGCGGGGTCCCCGCGCAGTCCCAGCCTCCTGCCCGGCCTCCCCCGTATTTATGAGCTCCTTGGAAAAAGCCTCCTCCAATGACACCGAAGGTGCTCGCTGCTCCTCCTTGTTTGCAAACTCCTGAGCCCCGGCCGGGGTGGTGCGGGGAGAAAACTTCTCCCCTCCCTCTGCCCATCACCGCCCGGGGGGGAAGGGGGGGGCAGCTCCCCCAACGCACCCCTTTCTTCTCCCCTCACCCCCCTTTTATTATTATTATTATTTCTTATTTTGCCAACTGACGGGGAGGGGGGACGGAGCTAGAAATGGCCCTACCACCCCCAAACAGCCCCGGCTGCACCCCCCACCCCCCCACTGCACCTCAGAGCCCCCAGAACCTCAAGGCTGGGGGAAATATATAGAGAGGAGATGAGGGCGCTGAAACCTTTTCAGGGTGCTCTGGAAAGGAGAAGAGCCCCAAAAAGAAGATTCCCATAGGGTGTCCCCTCCTCAGACCCCTCCCCAGGCTTTGGCAAGCTGCAGCCTGTTTGCATGGGGAAATCAAGGCAGGGGTATCCCTGCCCTACCTAACAACTCCCTACACAAATCAATCAAGGGTATCCCTTTCTGGCCCCACACAGCTCCTGCTTTAATCACTAGTCCAGGCTGTGCTTTGCCACCCCATGTTGGCTTTCACACAGTTCCCTCAGATTCCCAGGTCCCCTCGCATGGAAGGGAAAGAGGGTCACAGTGAAGCTGCTGGTGGGTGCCTGTCCAGCCTGGCTGGGCTCCTGTGTGAGCTTTGTGGGGACCACATGGGCAGGGACAGGGATGGGGCAGCTCAGACAGGCTGTGACATCCCCAGTTGGTCCCCACTGCCCATCTCGGGGACACATAAGGCCAGTCCAATACTTTGTCGTCTTTTTCTTGCTGTTGTTTTATGGAGCACTGCTCCATCCTGCAAATTGCCCCCCACCCTAGCTGGGATGAAGGCACCACCATCCCACAACCTTATTTCTCACTAACCCCAGTTCAGTGCTCATGAGGGCAGCAAAGTCTCCCCCAGGAAGTGTTCCCCCACCAGGATGATCTCCAGTATCACTAAGGAGACCAAAAATCCCCAGCTGGGTGCCCTTGCCCAGCTCATCTCTGCAACCTGCCCAGTGGAATATATTTAGTCCCTTGATTCCTTTATGATTCTGACCCCCTGACATGGGCTGCAGGGCTGCAGCGGCTCCGCTTTGACTGATTGTGGATTTCCTCTCTGTGCTGCCAGAAAGAAGGCAGGCAGGGGTGCAAGATGGGAAGGCATTTCCTAGGGTTGGCTGCTGCTGCCCCATCTAACCCCCCAGAAGGGGGGAAAAACCCATCATGGATCCCCAGCCGGGGTGTTTGTACAAGTAAGCAGTGATTTACCACATGCCTAGGTGTTCCTATTGACTCTTGTCAGATTACAAGTGATGGAGAGAACGGTATGTAAATGTATGCTGTGTGGGTTCAGATCTGCCTGGGTTTCCTGGTTTCTCCTCTTCCTTTGCACAGGAGTGGGATTGCTGCGGTTCTGTTCCTCCTGGATTACAGTGATTTGGGGGTCCGGAGAGCTGAAAGGTGCTAACTTCACTTGCAGCAGAAGCAGCAACTGCCCTTTCCGAGTTCTTCTCCGGGACCAAATTAAAACCCTGCGGAAGCAACAACATTTTCCAAAGGAACTGATTACATCTATTAAGCTATTTACAAGTGGGCTTGATCAGAGCTGTGTTATCTGGGAATACAACAGGAAGGCAACTTCTCTTAAATCTAAAAGGCGCAGGAGATTTCCTGGTCTCAGGACAGATTTATAAACCCTTTACACACACACACATGCAGGCTGGCACATAGCAACTGCCTTTCATCTGTGCTTTGGAGCCATGCACGCTCCTGGGGACCGCTCGTGTTGTCCCAGGCTTTACAGAGCGGGCTCCGCTTCTCTCCCAAAGTCCTGTCTCACGCCTTGAAGTGCCAGGACGGGGAAGAGAGGGAGGATGTCAAACTCTCCATCCTGCTCCAAACAGGTCTCCTGGGTGCCTTTTCCAGATGGGAGTCGCTGCAGAGGTTGGCAGTGAGAGGTTGGGAAGAGAACCTGTAATATCCTTCTTTTATTTTTCTGATTTCCCTTCAGTAGGGGTTGAAGTGCATTAACGAGGGACTGCCTGAAGCTGCAAGGGTTTATTTTGAATTGGTTTTAGATTGCTCAGCATTAATTTTTAATCCTCAGGATGCACAGAGCCTGGGTATCATCATCATCATCAACGTATCACCTCTATAGTAGAGGCCCCGGAGGCCAGAAAGCTTTAGTAGTAGTAGTAGTAGAATAGAATGTTGCCTCAAGGGAAAAGGAACAGATGAATCCCTCTTGAGCCCTGTTACATGGCTTGGGATGGGAGGAAAGCTCTGGGGGAGGATCAACCACCAAGCAGGGACAGGACTCTCATCCACCTCCTGCCTCTGCTGCAGACACCTGGAGGTTCCTTGCTATTCCCCTCTGCATCACGGGGGTAACATTGCTCGATCTGCCCCACCCCAGGTATTGCAGGGGTAAACTCGTGGCTTTTGGGTGCCCTCAGAGATGTGTGCTGGGACTCCTGTGTGGTTGCAGGACAAAGAAATACTTGAGGATATTTCTTGTTTGGATTTTCTCCCTGCTAAAAGACAGCACCTTCCTAGGACACACCCCCCACCCCCCCCCCTTTGGAATGCAAACTATAATAATAATAATGATAATAATAAACACTTCATGTTTCCCCCCCCTCTCCTGTAGCATTCTGATTGCATTAGTAAGATGGGTTTCATCCTGCACCCTACCTAAAATGCTGGTTAAACCTGTCCTGTCGGAAGCTCTGCATTACATAAAGACAGCCAGGGCTCATGTGAAAATGCCACCTTCTAATTGCGACCGTATCAGGGTAATTAGCAGCAGTCTGGAAAAACTTAATCTTTACTTTTTCTGCTTACCTTCCAGTTCTGGTGCAGCGCTTTACCTGTATCTGGGGCACAGGAAGAAACGGAGCTCTCACAGGGCTTTGAGAGCAGGGAAATTACGGCTAAAAGCTACGAGCTAAAATAGATTGAGCAGACAAAGGGTGGAAGAAAGCTTTGTTCTCCCCATTTTCACGGATGGGGAACAGTGGCAGCAAACTCCCATGGGTCCAGCAGAAAAATCTGTGCCTGAACCCAGCTTTTGCACTGTACAGGCAAGACCATCCCCACTCTTCAAAAATACCCCTTTTTGGCATGGATCTGACATCTGGCATGTTACTCAGCTTGCAAACAGTGGGTCTGTTTTCACCAAGTAACCTCCCCACACCCCCTGCTTCGGAGACATTACAAAGTGTGAGAAAGTGCAAATCCTAAATTAGCTCAATATTCACATGTTCCTTAATTATTGATGAAGCTCTCGTCTCCCAAGGGTAGGATCTGCAGAGGCAGCTGGGGGTTCCCAGCAAAGAGCTGTCTCTCGTCTCCCAGCTGCTTTACCACTGAGACAGAAGAACCAACCCTGCCCACTGCCCGGCCTCCCCGGCTCCTCCAGGGACTGCTACAGGGACCATTTATTTGCTAGGAGGAGAAATTCGAGTTTTCACCTCATACAGCCAAAAATGTGGACAAACCCCCCCAGTTTTAAGATTTCCAACATGCACACAACCACAGTGCTGAATAGTTCTGCTCTATTTTTAAAATGCAGCTTTAAGTTGCAAAATACATATACATACATTATTTCCTTTAGGTTAAAAGGGACTAGAGAATTTTGCCTCTTACACTTTAAAATTTATAAAAATGGACTAAGATAAGGAAAGAAAAATATCTTCTGAGTGACTCAGAACTTAAGTTCTGACTTGCTGAAAAATTGAGCTTGAATTTGGCTTTGGAACAATCTTCCCACTTTTGCCACCATCAAAGTTTATATTTTTACCATATTGACCAGTCCCACATCACTAAAAGTTTGCTTATACAAGACAAGCAAAACTTTGCTTGTCTTACATGGGGCAGGTAGAGAGACGACAGCCTTGGTTATTGTCCAAGTACTCTAAGCTCAGATCCTTCCCGGGAGCTCCTCAGCCACTAAATCCGTGCGGATCAGATTTATAACCCTTCCCACTGCAAACCTCACCTCACACTGCCTAGGAATGAGGAGGAATTAATTCGGATGCTCGCAGTCCTCATGCTGTTCGAGGACACACTATCGTAAGATCCTCTTTTAAGACAGGCGTGATGCTGTGCAGTGTTTCCAATAGACTTTGTGTGGTTTTCCTCTCTTCTTGGAGCTTCCTTCCTCCCCTTAGTGCTGGCAGGTTTGGAGGTTTCATGACGTAAATCGTGCCTTTTGAAGGTGGATGCTTCACAGTCTTGAGTCTTGTGTATTTAAACAGGAGAAAATTGGTTAATTACACTGGTGCATTCAGCTCATTTTCTTTGCTGAGAGCTGATTATCTGAAAGAACTCAGCACTAGAACTGCCCTTTGCTTAAAGGAAAATCACATTATTTGAACACGATGAACTGTCCCCAACCACACTTCTTGAATTGCACAAAGCAGCTCCCTCTCAATATCATCTAATGGACTGAAATGCCCATTGACCCAAGGATAGGTGGTTCTGAAATCTTAGTGGGTTGTCTTGAAACTTGTACTTTACTGAACCCTGGTTGTGTGTAAAGCCCTTGAGCTAGTATGTCTAGGAAAGAAGTCCAAAGAATGGCATGTGTTGCACACATCTGGGTTGTCTTGCAGCATGCACCAGCTTTCCCATTCCCAGCTCTAAAGGCAGGCTCTGCAGTCAGACACAGCAACACCGAAATGGTTGAAACTCATAAAGCTCATGCAGACTCATACCAGTCCGATGCTGGTAAGAAGACAACTTTTCTATGGGCAATAATTCCCAGGAGAGTTTTGCGCTTGCAGGTATTTACAAGACAAAATTCAGCATATATATTACTGTTCATAAAATTGTGGTTGCAAATCACAGTTTGGCACGTAGCAGCCTTTGCACCGACAGCTGAATTCAAGGCTTGAAGCAAAGAACGACACTATACCTGTGATGAATGGAGGTAATTCATGAGGAACCATCATGTGTGTAAGGCTCCGAGTGTGAGAAGGGGAAATTTCTTCTGTGCCAATGGTGACCGGTGATTACTGAAACTGAAAACATTTTAACACCTATGCTGTGTGTGCCTCAGTCTCGATTTGAAAATGAAAGTAGAGTGGAGACTCATTTTGCTTAGTTTCTAGGTAATTTCAGTTGGAGGTATGTGATTTTGCTCTGTGATGTGTGAGTCAACGGACAAATATCTAACAAAAGACTGCTGTTTGAAAGCCTTACTTTCACAGCAATGAAACCAAGTAACTTCTTTGGGCTTACATTCTGCTAATTTCACCATTTGAGTAATGATGTAATTATTTTTCTTATGCTTTCTAAAAAAAAGACCTTCTTGCCAAACCAGAGTTTGGTTAAAACTGAACTCACAACCCACTATAAACAGCAAAAACATGCAATTACTTTGAAGTGTGCTCCTGTTGTTTCAATCATCCATTTCATGAGACAGTATCTGGTCAGGAGAGCTTTTTGTCCAGTAATGCAAAGTTGGTTGACCCCTAACATGCACAGAGCAAAGCAGATAAATGAACAGCTCATTTCAAATACTAGCCTGTTATGATCCCCCCCCCCCCCCCCCCCCCTATTCTGCACATGCTATTTCTCTTTGAACTCGAGGCACATTAAAATCCCACATTTCCTGGGATAGAGTAAAATTCCCACTACTTGTACAAATAGAGAATCTTCTATTTGTAGCCGATATTTCAATCTGGGCCAGATTTAAATCTTAGGTATTTGGTACTTAACGGTAGTAACACCATATCTTTAAAAATGTACTCCTGGGTTTATTCTTCCTATAACTAACACTGGAAAATGGCCAAACACTCGTAAGAATTAGCATGCAGAAACCTATGGAAGATTAATGTAGAGAACAAACAAATAAGCCCAGTGGTACTTGGAGAAGTAAACCTTACTCCTCAACCAGCACCTTTTTAAACTGAAATCCCTGAAAGACCGTGAAGTGTAGTTAAAAAAACTATTGGAAACAAACAGGCTTTTTGGCTTTTGCTGACAAACAAAACCCCAAATTTGTGGTGAGCAAGAGATTAGAAATGCTGCTTTGCAGAGGACCCACAGAACTTCAATGCAACATGAAAAATTATTCTGCTGTATTCTTTTGCTGCAATTATTTTTTTTTTTGCACGTTGGGCATGGAGCTTACTCACAGCTCTATAGCAACATCATGGCATGAAGTGGTATTTCATCTAAAGAAATCAGGGAATTGGCCTGGCCTCAGCAGCATCAGAATGGCTAACACCTGCACAGCACTGAAAAGCAAATGCTACTCTAAACACAGAGAAAGACACCTTGTTCTCCCTTGCAAGAAGTAAAAATACAGTAATTTTGCTGTAATGAATGAACATGTCCTGAAAGTAAGAAAGGTGCACTGCAACCCAAGGTATCTCAGAAAGGAAGAGTTCAGCTGCAAGCTAAAACATCTGAAGCCATGTGGGCTGTGTAACGCATGCTTTAGTTTCACTGGACAATAAAGGCAGCTTAAAAAAATTTTTCATATTAACATCTGCATCTTGACAATGTTTTATAAACCATGTTAAGCAACTCAACTGAGCCAAGACAATAAAAAAATGTACCCATTTTATTCAGCAGTGCAGGCCAAGTGGGGCGTTTTAGATTTACACTGATGAAACGCAGCCAGGCCCAAAGTCAAATGAACAGCTAATGATGTGAATTCCGGTCGGCCACTCCAGATTATGGCATGAGAACTGGCTGGCTTTCAGGATTGTGCTGTCCCTTTGCTGTGGCTAAAGCAGTATCAGAATCAGACTCCAGGATGGTGAATGCTGCTTCTCATTCCAACACTTTACTTCCATGCTCGCCCATCTCTTCTAACAGCTCTTAGCTGAGATTAACATGTCGAAATTCATGCTGAATGTTTAATACCTCATACAAAACTGGTTATCGCAGTGCTGAGTTCCAGCATTGCTTATTTCCAGGTTTACAATTAGAAACAAGCTATAATTTGATTACAAACCTAAACTGCAAGTGTTCAGAGTGTATGCAGCAATACTAATGCATCTGACCAGCTATACTTTTAAAATCCACTTGGTCCCTAATTTCAGAGAAAAAGCTCTTGCTCTAGCCAAGACAACTGTTTGAATGCCAGATACATCACTGAAGGTACCCTGAGTGCTCCCAGAGAACCAAAGATCTAGATACGGTTAATAAAGGCACAGCTCCTCTAGCTTTGTAGCAAAGTTACAACTGCTAGAGAATAGTTAACAAGCGGCTAGGAAACAAAGGGTGGTATTTTTATTTCACGCTTTAGTACTGATACTCAGGTGTAAAACTTTAATATTAGAACAAGTATTTGAGGAAGAAACAACATTTATTTTATATGTAAAAGGAGATCAATGAAAAAATTAGACATGACTTTGCAAAAAACAGTGAAAAAAACACATGGAACTTTGCAAAACCTCTCCTGTTTCCAGAAGCAGAGCTGGGCTATCACAAGTGAAAACAACAGTTGCTTAAATAATAAAGACAGTAGTAGGGTGAATTGTTCTTTTTAACCTGGATGGAGAAAAATACAGTGTGAAGCAGCAGGTAGTAAGGAATTCACTGCCTTTCCCAGATTTAACCACAGTGGTGGTCTGATTTTGCTTGCTGGAACAAAGTTGCACCAGAGTGAATCTGGGCTGAAGGCAGCACAAGGTCTGCTGTGTTACAGCACAGCTCTTGCAAAGCCACGAAGGTGAACCGTCTGCCATACTGAAAGAGGCAAAGTGGAACTATTTTTTGTCACGTCTTGCTTTGCAGACATGCAAGCCTTGGCCCTACACATGGATACCTTTTTTAATAAGGCACTGAAGCTCACATTGATTTGTTACCATGTTCTTCCTTGAAAGAGCTATATTTAAACACAGTCTGTGGTTTCTGCTGGAGGTAGAGGAGTGTGCTCAACTCTGGATCACAAGTGGTGTCTGGCTGGTGTGTTTACACAGATTTCCCTAACTTGCTAAGGTACAAATCACCTGAGTCACAGCTTGACTCTTAAATGTGCTTGCAATGCTTCTTTTTCTTTTTCTGTGCTCCTTCGATACACTCATCTGCATCCTCTTTTTGCCTTTTGTGTTTCTTTTTATGGTGTTTCTTTTGCCATGCCTCACAGTCCTTTGCACTTAGATCTTCCCCATCAGAAGCTCCTGTATGAATCTCTCCATTGCCCAGGTTTTCATCACAACTAATGCTTTCCCCTTCGTGCTGCTCTTTATGTTTCCTTTTCTTTTTCCTTGAGTGACATTCATTTAAAGGAGCATCCAGTTCCTTGTCATTCAAGCTACTTATCTTCGACTGTTTCACTTTTGGTTTCTCACAATGATCTGTACTCTTGGCCTCATCTCTCTTCTGCTTGTGCTTTTTCTGTTTTACTTTGGTTTTCAGTTCTTCTGAAGGCTCCAAAGCTTCATTGGCTGTTGGGCTGGAACTGACTACCTTTGCTTCTGTGTCATTCTGGGATCCCTTCAGTTTTGCCATGCGCTTGGCAAAATATTCCTGTACAGTGAGAACGCTCGTCACTGTATTGTAACCGTCTGCAGGCTTGGATAGACAGCAGTTTCCCTGCTTCTCTTCCTGAGACTTAGGACTGGCAATATCCTCCTGCAAGGGAACAAAGAGAGGCAGGAGCGAGAGTCAGAAATAATGGCTTTAAACATAATGGTGGTTTTTTTTTTGCACTAGTAAGAAAAATACTAACAAACAGTATGGTGCTTTGAAAATTAATTGCAAAAATATAGAGTTGGGCAGAAATGAGATTCAGCCCTTAATGCAAATGTTGGCGCAAGTTAAGGGAGAAGAGGTGGCAGTATGGATGGCAGCGAGAGAATACAGAAGTCAGTTCTCTGTTGGTTTAAATTTCTTGCTGTTTACCTACTCCTGTGCAGCTCATGCAGATTATGTATAATACTATCATACTCAAGTGTATTACACTCACTTTGCAAAGGCACATGTCTCTACAGGATACAAAACAACATAAAAAGTAACACAGTGCAATTTATTAGCCTATGGCATAAAGGAAATCCCATGCCTGGAATACCTCTGCAGCAAAGTGCAAGAACTTATGATACACAGAGCAATCCAGCATTGATGCATCTCTTCCATCTTATCTGATCTTTAGAAATGTTTGTTTCGCAGCTGGTTTACTGTCATTGTGTCCTAGATGTTGTTATTTAAACATGCTCCATTTGATTATACATTATCAGATGGCAAAAACAACATCACAGGTTAGATCTTACAAGGCTTCTGCATACACAAAATAAATAGCTGCTGAACTCCAGCTGCAGGTGAGTATCTATAAAAAGAGCCTAGTATCTAGAAAGTAAATATAAAACAAAGAGCAAAGTATAGCTATGGAGCTGGATATTATGTATGGCATGAAGGGAACTGACTCTGAAAAAGCAGCAAATGCAACAAGATGAAAATAACATAACTTGTTAAATTATCTGCGACTTGCAAAATAAACCAGCCAAAAAGGCAGCTGAAATTCAGACTTGTTTACACGGATACTAAAGCACTCAAAAATAACCCTTTGTGGCATATCCTTTTGCTTGGCAAAAGTCACAAACGGCTCTTGGAAATGTCCCAGATTTTACATTGTTGTGTTTTTTTAACCCTTGTATGAACTGCAGCTAACGAAGCACACCCAGCCTGATGGGAAAAGCTGAGCAGGGGAGAATTGTGCAGAATCCTCACCAAAATCTGGCCTACATCACACTTCTTGAATGGTAGGTAATCCACAACTATTACAGTCAAGTGTGGCAAGTATGACAGAGATACTTCACTTTTTACCATTCATAAATGCACAGACAGGTCAGAGCATCCACTCTACCCATACACCTTGTATGTGAACTGAAGTGACTATAAAATGCAATCAAATCCAAGCAGTAATATTTTACGCCCGCTTTCACAGACATAAACTGATACACAGGGTGAAGACTAGCAGAGAACTGGGAGATATAAAATCACTTATCTCAACACTTTATGGTTATTGCATGATGGTGTAGATAAGTGAACTGACTCTCTTCAGAGCATCATTTAATCTGTTACCTGAAGTGGGGTTTATTAGGGTTTGTGAGTAAGGTTTTGAAGGTCTAACTCCTTATGCATCCATCACCTTAAACTCACATGAACAGGAATGCAAAAATTTGTGTCATTAGTGATGCATTATGAGTAGCCATTTCCTAATACACCTGCTTTCAAGAGAGCTATTCCAGTGGAACGAAAGTAATGCTACACTTGAGATTCCAATAATGTTTGTGCGGGCACTTACAAAACTTAGGTACTTTTCTTGTAGAAATACCGTGTAGCGTACCTTCAGGCAAGTTTATGAAGTAACTGAAACTGTTTTGCTTCTGGCAAAGAAGCCTGCAAAGAGATGTTGAGCATGGGGGGGGGGAAACCATGTATCTACATACATCTATACATATAGTTTGAAAGGGAAGCTGCGGTACAACTTTGACAAGACAGAGTCCACAGAAGAAATGGATTGAGTTTCATTTGTCACTTTTTTTAATAAGATATACCCCCAACCCAATAAGCAACGTTGGTGTGGATCAAATACAGATGCCCTGCTGAAGCAGAGTTAAAAGGTCACTTTTCCTCTTACCCGCAACAAGATTTTGACACCTTGCATTGCAAAATGACAAACAGTCTCCCGGGTTTTCTGGGGCAGATGCCAGCCAGAACAGTTTCCCTCCCCACCCCAATATGTCAAATGTACTTGGGACCAGAACACCAATTACCCCCTGGCCAACCAGGAAAGGATTTTCTCATTCCCCTGGTGACTTCAAGTCCTGACAACTTAATTACGGTAATTGAAAGCAAGTATTACTTGAACTCTACACATTTATTTTATAAAATACATTAGGTATTAACAAAAAGTTCCTTTGGTTAAACTAGGAAGTTCAGAAGGTATGCATGATCCCAGAAAATAAGAACCTTGCTCAGGAACTCTTTATTGATAAGAAATTTAATAACCATGGCTCACTGAACGCAGAACTAACAGGGCATGGAGACAAGCAAAGAGGTGCCAACCCTAGAAAACCTCTCAGTTTAGGAAAAGCTTATGTGAAACCATAAATTACCTGGAACGGCTGTTAAATGCCAGAAGTGTTCCCCTCCCATGATGTACCTGTCCTAGTAGCCATGGGAACACCACTGAACTCTAAACATGGGTTTGCTCTGGATGGGAGACTCACAGTTTATGCAAGTCTTCTCCTGCCTGTCCCAACATACATATATAGAAGTTTCAAAGAAAAATAAGATCTACACACTCAAATGCGTACTGTGTTGCTGCAACTCCTGAAAAGCCATTTATTACACAAGATACAAGACAGAAAGAAACCTCCTCCTCCAAAGAGCTGATGATCACATAAAATGAAAAGCAATCGTGCTGTAGCTGGTGGGAGGCTTGAAGAGTAGGCTTTGGAGGAGATACGTTTGTCCACACCATAAGTTCCAAAATTAACAACAAAATTGGTCTGAGAAGTTGAGGTTAAAAGGAGTTGTGAATACTGGTCTCTAGGAAATCGGTAGGATGATTCCAAGCAAGAGAAAAGGACTGCTTGAAGTGTGGTGTTAAATGTGGAATAATTAAGAGGAAACAATAGGAAAATTCAAGGAGAGGCTGGGAAGTGCACAGGAAAAGACAAAGGTCAATTATAGCCAGAAGTCCCCTGTAAATATCATCTGCTTATGTAATTAGAGAAATGTATGGAAAATAATTTGAAGCACATAAAGTACTCTTGAGTACCACCGGTGCTGTTTTCTGCCTGCTTTCTTCACGTTAGCCACACAATGCTGATTTAATCAAGTTAGCACACAAAACTTAGAGAGTGAAATCCTGGTTCCCTTGATTCCTGGGGTATAAGGGTTGTATCTCTAAGGCATCACAGTCTCAGAGCACCTTTCAGCTGCAGTTATTCAGTGAATTAAAAAAATGGGGGATTATGGTCAATTACATAAGCAATTCACATCACATTGTGAAAACAGTCTGGCAACAGGAGAAGCCCAAGGTGGAAAGTACTTAGGCACCTCATGAAACCAAATGAGTTTGAAACCCAAGTATGTTTGCAGTTTTAAGACCTTAGGTTGAAGAATTAAAACCCCAAAAGAAAAGCTGCATCCACATGTTATTTTGAGAGGAAAAGCAAGATAAAACCAATCAGCAAAGACAAAGGTTACCCATACATAAGCAACAGAAGCAGCTTGCATTAATCCAGTAAAGTTTCCCTGCTCTTCAGACTGCAAATGTTTCTGTCCTAGCACTTAAATCTTACAGTAGGGGAATAAAGAAATCTGCTAGAATCTCAGATCTGCCAAACAAGGACTACAACTGTTCAAGTCAAGTGATTTCACATGCCTTTGCCTCCTCATTTGCAAATGAGGGGGTACTAATTCACAAGCAATTTTGTTAGCCTAAATTCACAAAAATGACAAAGTACAGAAGGGGTGAGCATAAAGGCAGAATAAAGCTAAACTATAATTTCAGTAGATTCTCACTTAAATTACAGAAAATGGGCTAGATGAAGTAAGTAGAGGCTAAACCTCAAGCCTGAGTTACAAGGCAATCACACAATCATTCAGAGCTTTAAAACGCATCAACCCCTTTCTGCAGTCTGCTGAACCACAGTGATTAGAGACTTTCTTCTTCAGAAGCCATAACAATAAGATTAATATAATCCAGTTCTGTTTCTGCTACTTCAGATCCTCACTGCAGAGGTGTGTTGGTATATTGCAGTGCATAAAACTTGACAGGCAAGAACTGAGGGCATCCCTGTATCTTTCTACGCCAGGTCTAGCTCTGATGGAGAGAAAACAGAGCAGATTATTCATGAAGAGTCACTCTGGGGCTCTGCAGACATTAAGAATGACAGAGTCTTCCTTTAAGGGGCTGACAACTTCCAGTTAAGTATGAGCATAAACATTTGGACTGGGATCAAACAGGCAAGAGAATGAGCAAAGATCTGTAGCAGGATGAGTTTAAGCAGGATTAAAATAAATGCATGCATAAATAAGGCCATGTACCCTCAGTTCTGAAGTCAATTCTGGCATAAGAACAGGTACTCAGGAGGCTCTATTGTTTTCAATTTACCTGATTAAGATTGGTATACTGCAGACAGCATCTTATGAAGAACTTACCATAACAGACTTCCACAGGGCTGATGCAAAGAAAAAAGGAGATAATTGTCCCTGTGCTTATGAGGAAGAGGACAAGCTGCAGCAGTAGATGCAAATTACCAACACGAAACTCTGCTACTAGGAGTAATCTACCAGTAGGTATGTGAAGCCTCAACAACCACTGGGAGTCTCAACCATGGAAAGCAACTCATCCAACTATCAGGAAAGCGTTAGGCAGAGTTCATCCTTGCTTGGAACGGAAAATAGAAGATCGGGACTCTAGAAGCATCTTCCATTCCTATAATGCTTTAAAATCTTAAAATAGGCATACAAATTGCCTGCCTGGTAATAAAGGAGGGTTTAATGAAAGAGATGAAAAGCAGGAACACTAAACCCAAAAAGAAATGGTAAAAAATCAGGTCACCTGCTATTTCTTCTTTTGTCAATCCTGGAATTCTAATCACCAGAATACCTCACATACC